ACTAACCTGAGCACAACAAAGCCCCCACCCAAACAGAACACTCCCCCATCCAATCAGAGCACAGCCAACCCCCCATCCAATCAGAGCACAGCCAAGCTCCTTAACCAATCAGAACACACCTCCACCCAATCAGAACACAGCCAAGCTCCCACCCAATCAGTTCAAACCCCACTGGCAGTTAAAAGGAAGAAACAGCTGCAATCACACATTACTCCTAGAAGCACGAAGCTGAAAACACCAGCCTGAAGACGTCGAAACGTCGCCAAGACACTTCCAATTTTACGCGGGAGAAAACCTGAATAACCAAAGACCTACATACAAACACCCGCGAAAACCTCAGAAAACACACACACATATATATTCTATTGATATTTTTCTGGCGAATGATTTTAATCAAGTACAGAATATATTTTTGCACAATATACTTTTATTTAAAAATTAACCCAATTTAGAAATTTAGCTAATCCAGAGCGTGGGGGGAGGGGCATTTCTTTTCCTGGAGATGCTCTAAAAGCTAGACAGCCATCTGATGGGACTGCTGTGCTTCGAGCTCAATGGCGTACATGGTCTCTTACACTTTATTTTTCATCTGCGTTGCAGAATTCTGAAAAGCATGGATGTAAATGTAATCCAAGTCACACATAGGTTTGGGAGGTGCAAATTGTATATCTCTAGTTTAAAAAAATTCAGAATGAATTTTGTAAGGCAAAATTCACTTACACTGTCTGAGATCTAATCTTCAAAGATCACACTTAAGGAAGATTAACAAGAAAACAATTAAGGCAATCACCTCAAAGGAAAGGTAGAGAAAGGTGGGGCGGGGAGACCCAGATAACAAACTTGTGCAATGCTTAAGCATATCTGCCCTTTGGAAGAATATCCTCCCCCCAAAAAAGAAAATTCTGTATGATCCCAATCTTGTTGTCTTTTAGGAGAGTACTTAAACCTTCCTGAGTAGGTTCTGCTGTTGTTTCATGTGGAGTCAATAAATACAATACAAGGCCTCACTATGCAAAAAACATCTTTTTCAGAGAGAGGGAATACAACTACAGGAACAAGAAATGCATCACAGGAACAATAGAGATGAATCATAGAGTAGCAATATGACGAAAGAAATAAATACAACAGAGATGAATGATAGAGCTGCATATAAGGTAAACATAACACCCATAAGATCTTCTCCTTCTCATGTTAACCAAACATTGAAATTTTGGATGAGAACTAGTAACAACACTTCCTATAAGTTGAGTCTGTTGGGTGGTTGCGAACGTCTGCCACTACGGGTGAAGACTGGCCCTCTTTACACTAAGAGTTTCTCCGACCTTGCTGAGGTTGCTGGGATCTTCTAGCCACTTACTGGGACATTCTGCCTTTGACTGCTGTCAGGTATACCAGCTTGCTCATGGCTATAATTAGCATTGGTCTGTGGCATCAGTACTGTGCATTCCCAATTGCCAGTGGGTAAGTGTGGCCCAGTAATACCAGGTGAGTTGGGCTGTCCACAGGATATGGAGAATCAGGCTGCGAGTCAGGCTGCTCAGCCACACGCGGATCCACACAATTGCAACAATAGAGTGTTCCATCAATATCCACTAGATATTGCGTGACAGCAATCAAAGGCAGAATGTCCCAGTAAGTGGTGAAAAGAGCCCAGCAACCTCAGCAAGGTCAGAGAAACTCTTAGTACAAAGAAGGCCAGTCTTCACCCATAGTGGCAGACGTTCGCAACCACTCAACAGACTCAACCTATAGGAAGTGTTGTTACTGGTTGTCTACAGCCAATGTGGTTTACACAAAAGAATGCATTGGTACTGTAAACTCTTAAGGGCAAAAAATGGTTCATAAATCTCAGATTAAACAATATAATCCAAACCTGCCAGCTGGATTCGGGTGCAACATGTGATGTCATGAATTTAAAGGACAAAATGAAACTGGCACCTGAGATGCCTCTTCAGCCTAGTGGCACCAAAATTCCTGGCTGGCTCAGGAATTCTGGGAGTTGAAGTCCACGAGTCATAAAAGAGTCAAGGTTGCCTACCCCTGGCCTAGCCACTACCTAGTTTATATGATGATTTCAGTTGGAAATGCTAAGCCTTGGATAATAAGTAGGGAAGCTAGATATATTTATTTTTTTATTGTTTAATCAATATCTAGGGCTGCCCACTTGGCTCAGGAATTCTGGGAGTTGAAGTCCACGAGTCATAAAAGAGCCAAGATTGCTTACCCCTGGGCTAGGCAGTCATGGAAAAATGTAAGACTAACAAAATACAATTAAAAGCTGATTATCTTAAGATGACAGAAAAATCATGGAAAATAGAAAGCTCTTGACCCAGCGTTGAACAATGCTAATGCTCATGCTAATGGAACCTCTCTGGAATGGGAGTTCTACCAGTGTGGTCTCAAAAGAATTCTAGGTTCTATAGCTGTTAGAATTGCATAAGATTCCAATATCACTGTACTTGTCATTAAATTGTACCCCTCTTGCCTAAATGCAGACACTAACATCCTCTTCCTTTTTTCATTCCCTTCCATCAGTGATGGCAGCAATAGCTAGGTAAAGTCTATCTGCTAAGTAACACTTGCTTCTTATAATCCAGCAAGCTGCAGGGTTTCAAACCCTGAAAGAAAGACATGAAGAGCCAAGATAGGCATCAAGCTGCTAAGTAAGTTAAACTAAAAAAAATAAACAAATAATAGGAATTAACAATTGGTTGAGAAATTAATGAAAATCTATCAGGAAAAATAATGATTTTGTTTATTGTTTGTATGGAATGATAGCAATTGCCATAATCATAAGGAGCAGCCATGACTAATGATATAATAAAAACATAAAAATATATAATAATCAGTTTATAATTGTTATGAATAATAATAATATATCTACAGACCCACCCCATGATCTATACTGTGACTGAAACAAACAGTTGGAAAAATTGTAACTCTTCAAGTAGTTTATAACTCTAGTACTTTAAGTAGTTTACAAGCCATTGAGCTATTCCATTAAAGGCTGGAGCTGAGATCCAGATTGGGAGAAAGGGGGTCTCTCCTCCCACCTTCATCCAGTCCAAGTTGCAGATCCTGGGAGATTATAGAAACAAGTCCATTGGTTTGAACTGGGATTTGGATTTTCCACCTAAAAGCCTTGGGAGAATAGAACCACTACAATAAAACTGCCAAAGATACAAAGGCATTGTTTTATTTTTTTAAACATTTTTTTAAACATTTTTAATTGTTTTGCTCAGTTGGGTAGCTTTATCTTTGCTTCCTTTACCTGTCTTTCTGTTTAATTGCCTGATCTGTTTATTGGTTCAAGATTTCTAGGTCTGAATATGTTATAATACATAATAAAGTTCCTCTGGATGAATTCACAGTGGAGCTTGCTTCATCACTGGTATTTACTTAATTTCCTATAAACCGCTCCTGGTATGTGAGTCACTTGCTCTTCTTAGGCAAGTCTGGACTTTTTATGTTGCCATGGTTGTGATTACAGGGACAAAGTTTCCCTCAAATAAAGGCAGCTCAAGTTACAAGATGCCAATATTGTAAAATTTACTTTCA